AGATAAGTGAACTATAGATATGTAGATATAAATCCATATGTATTCCTGTTAACCCTTTGGGGCCTAGTTCCTAGGCCTTTTGTGTATCCATATGCTCTCGCGCTACCGTCCACAGGATGGATATGGGCGGCACAATAAACTAGCCACTTCGGTGGCAAAATCTAATCTTGGCATGCAAGTTAGCTTAGGTCAGACTAATGTATATTGACTTACAGAAATTTCGTTCGATTATTTTCACATAAGAGAAAATGTCAAAGAAGTGTTGCTGACATACACCCTTCTTACATCTCAATGTATATACACTGAGAGGTGTATATCTCAGTGTATATACACTGGTACTTAATATTACTCAGTATTTTAGATACTAAAGTGTTCTTGACTGGTGGTGTACAAGTGACATGCAGCCTTAATGATCCTCGTGTACTAGATAGAATTTAAACCCTATTAACCAACCAACCTGTCATAATGACCCTCGTGTAGTAGACTTTAATTGAAACCCATTAACCATCTTCCGCTCTCGTGCACCAGTAGTTCCCTCTGTGAAAGCCTTGAAGGAATCTCTTAGTCCACCTCTTAGTGGACACAGACTCGAACCTCTTCTTGAACCTTCCCTGGTTAACTGTTACCCCTCCCCGTATAGTCGAAGGGAAATGACAAAGGCCTAGAAGACAGGCCGTGGGGATCAAACTACACTTCTAACAAGCCTAGAAAGAGTAGGTACGTGCAAGGCAGCTACAGCTTCTGTCTACCTGTGTTGCATCAGGAAAATTAGTGATATTCCCTGACTACCAAACTCACCATATTGTCGTTCACGACCCAATGTTAATGGAGCTAGACTCTGAGATACTGTATCAGGCGCCTCAGTCAGATCAGTTAAGCCTTACTATGAACAGTTGCAGTATTATGGTTCAGCAGAGGTGAATGTAGTGTCAGGCAGTGATTGCCGGACAGATCTATTCTTCCGGCAGTGAGAGCCTCTCATGCAGGGGATTTTCTACTGTTACTAATTTTTCTCGTGGCTGTATACTCTATCATGCTCCTCAACAGGACTATTTGCCCTTGACAACTACAGTTGCAATAGGATGGCCTAGTAGACTATAACATCAACAATGCTTCAGTTTAGTCAAGGAGAGATTTCTTTTGACAGTGAGAGCTCATCATGCAAGGGATTTCCTGTTGTCGTTAATTCCTCCCCTGACACCCGCCTCGACCCTCAGTCTGGCCCACTATATCCTCGCCTACACTACCTAACACTTACACCTGTCTTCCTTACACCTGCACCTCTAGCGCGTTGGTCTGGAGTTTTACGACTCTGATCGCGGGTTCTATCCCCGCTAGTTGTATGATTTATTTGCAATTGTGTCATTACGATTTCGTGAGTCACCTCTCTTAAAACCAACATTCACTTTCACACCTGAACAGTCCCTATACCTGCCTTTCTCCTCCTCTACATTCCGCCCACATTCCACCTTTCTCCCTGGTTCTTCCTTGCGGTCACGAACCGCACTCTGGTCCAGCCTCCACACTATCTGAACCACTCCATTATTCCCCCTCCCTATTAGCTTTATGATAGAGCAAAAACTATTTTTAGATACTTTAAACCTGGAGTATCCTTTTTCAGATTATACCTCCTTAAAGTAGCTTTGAACTGTCACTTACTTTAGGCGTTTGAACACATTAGAGATTGTATCTGTCTGGAGATCGTAGCTACGACAAATTTGTCAACAACGTTCACGAATCTGTTGCAGAGAGGGCGTTGTGTTTCGTGTGGACTAAAACATATGCAACATATGGGTATCTTCACTGAGCAATAAGTCACGTGTTCAACACCTAGGTGTATTAGGAGATTAGTTGTTGCACATGTGTCTTATTTGTCAGTTGCAATATACACCCTCCTAGCCGTCCTGTGGATGGTAGTGGCTAGTTTGTGTACCCCATATCCATCCTGTGGATGGTAGTACAAGAACATTTAAATACACAATAGGCCTAGAAACTAGACCTCAAAAAGTTAACATTATATCTAGAAATATAACAATACATTCCTTATATATTACAAGAAAATTTAACATACTTACTAAATATATCAGATATATTTTCATTAACATATCTTGAAATATAACATACGCTACATTTTCTCTATATTTCTTAATAAATGTACACTCAAGCACAGTGTACAGAGTGATCGTGATGTACTCTTCTAGTACACGGGTTCACAGTTCAGATGTTTGAAGTTCAACGACCAGGGGAGATTTTCTGTACATTTTCCAGTTCTGTTGTTCTGTCTGAAAATAGTCCATTAGTGGACTGGTGGTGTACAGGTGACCTGCAGCCTTAATGATCCTCGTGTAGTAGATAGACTTTAAACCTCATTAACCAAGCAACCAGTCTTATTGACCCTCGTGTAGTAGATAGACTTTAAACCCCATTAACCAACCAACCACCTTTCAAAAAATGGACACACTGAACCAGCTGTCTAATGGAGGATTTCCATCTTTCCCAGGAGGTGTGGCCCCAGCCAGGAGGTGCAGGTGTAACCCCAGCCAGGTGGTGTGACCTCAGCCAGGAGGTGCAGGTGTAGCCCCAGCCAGGTGGTAGAGGTGTGGCGCCAGGAAGGTGGTGTGGCCCTAGCCAGGTGTAGGCCTTGGCTAGGTGGTGCAGGATGAACCAGCTGTGTCGTGTGTGTGGAGAACCAGCTGCCGGATTTCATTTTGGTGCTTTCACTTGTGAGGGTTGTAAGGTGAGTCCTCCTCTTCCTCTTCTTCCTCTTCCTCCTCCTCTTCTTCCTCTTCCTCCTCCTCTTCTTCCTCTTCACTCTCCGAAGAGCCTCCCTCAGTAATTCTTCCCAGTACCTCCCCAGTAACTCTCCCAGCACCACCCCCATTAACTCTCAGCACCTCCCTCAGTACCTCCCCCAGTAACTCTCCCAGTACCTCCCCCAGTAACTCTCCTAGTACCTCCCCCAGTAACTCTCCAGTACCTCCCCCAGTAACTTTCCCAGTACCTCCCCCAGTAACTCTCCCAGTACCTCCCCAGTAACTCTCCCAGTACCTCCCCAGTAACTCTCCCAGCACCACCCCCATTAACTCTCAGCACCTCCCTCAGTACCTCCCCCAGTAACTCTCCCAGTACCTCCCCCAGTAACTCTCCTAGTACCTCCCCCAGTAACTCTCCCAGTACCTCCCCCAGTAACTCTCCCAGTACCTCCCCGAGTAACTCTCCCAGTACCTCCCCCAGTAACTCTCCCAGTATCTCCCCAGTAACTCTCAATACCTCCCTCAGTACCCCCAGTACCTACCCCAGTACCTCCCCAGTACCTCCCCCAGCAACTCTCCCAGTACCTCCCCCAGCAGCTCTCCCAGTACCTCCTCCAGTAACTCTCAGTACCTCCCCCAGTACCTCCCCCAGTAACTCTCCCAGTACCTTCCCCAGTAACTCTCTCAGTACCTTCCCCAGTAACTCACCCAGTACCTCCCCCAGTAACTCTACCCCCCAGTACCTCCCCCAGTAACTCTCCCAGTGCCTTCACCAGTAACTCTCTCAGTACCTTTCTCAGTACCTCCCCCAGTACCTACCCCAATACCTCCCCAGTACCTCCCCCAACAACTCTCCCAGTACCTCCACCAGTAACTCTCAGTACCTCTCCAGTACCTCCCCCAGTAACTCTCCCAATACCTCCCCCAGTAACTCCCCCAGTACCTTCCCCAGTAACTCTCTCAGTACCTCCCCTAGTAACTCACCCAGTACCCACCCCAGTAACTCTCCAGTACCTGCTCCAGTCCCTCCCACAGCAACTCTCCCAGTGCCTCCCCAGCAACTCTCCCAGTGCCTCCCCCAGTAACTCTCCCAGTGCCTCCCCAGCAACTCTCCCAGTGCCTCCCCCAGTAACTCCCAGTGTCTCCTCCAGCAACTCTCTCAGTTCCTCCCCCAGCAACTCTCCCAGTGCCTCCCCCAGCAACTCTCCCAGTCCCTCCCCCAGCAACTTTCCCAGTCCCTCCCCCAGCAACTCTTTCAGTACCTCCCCCAGCAACTCTCCCAGTCCCTCCCCCAGTACCTCCCCAGTACCTGCTTCAGTCCCTTCCCCAGTAACTCCCAGTACCTTCCCCAGTACCTTTCTCGTACATCCCCAAGTACCCCCAGTATATCCCCGAGTACCCCAGTACATCCCCCCAGTTCATCTCTCAGTACCCCCAGTACCTCGTCCTCTCCCCCAGCAGTCGTTCTTCAGGAGGACCTACAACAGTACCCTCCCCGGTACATCCCCCAGTACCTTCCCCAGTACCTCCCCCAGTAACTCGTCCTCTCCCCCAGCAGTCGTTCTTCGGGAGGACCTACAACAGTACCCTCCCCGGTACATCCCCCAGTACCTTCCCCAGTACCTCCCCAGAAAACTCGTCCTCTCCCCCAGCAGTCGTTCTTCGGGAGGACCTACAACAGTACCCTCCCCGGTACATCCCCAGTACCTTCCCCAGTACCTTCCCCAGTACCTCCCCGGTACATCCCCAGTACCTTCCCCCGTACCTCCCCGGTACATCCCCCAGTACCTTCCCCCGTACCTCCCCGGTACATCCCCCAGTACCTTCCCCAGTACCTCCCCCAGTAATTCGTCCTCTCCCCCAGCAGTCGTTCTTCGGGAGAACCTACAACAGTACCCTCCACGGTACATCCCCCAGTACCTCCCCCAGTACCTCCCACAGTAACTCGTCCTCTCCCCCAGCAGTCGTTCTTCGGGAGAACCTACAACAGTACCCTCCCCGGTACATCCCCCAGTACCTCCCACAGTAACTCGTCCTCTCCCCCAGCAGTCGTTCTTCGGGAGAACCTACAACAGTACCCTCCCCGGTACATCCCCCAGTATCTCCCCCAGTAACTCGTCCTCTCCCCCAGCAGTCGTTCTTCGGGAGAACCTACAACAGTACCCTCCCCGGTACATCCCCAGTACCTCCCCCAGTAACTCGTCCTCTCCCCCTGCAGTCGTTCTTCGGGAGGACCTACAACAGTACCCTCCCCGGTACATCCCCCAGTACCTTCCCCAGTACCTCCCCCAGTAACTCGTCCTCTCCCCCAGCAGTCGTTCCTCGAGAGGACCTACAACAGTACCCTCCCCAGTACCTTCCCCAGTACCTCCCCCAGTAACTCATCCTCTCCCCCAGCAGTCGTTCTTCGGGAGGACCTACAACAGTACCCTCCCCGGTACATCCCCCAGTACCTCCCCAGTACCTCCCCCAGTAACTCGTCCTCTCCCCCAGAAGTCGTTCTTCGGGAGGACCTACAACAGTACCCTCCCCAGTACCTCCCCCAGTACCTCCCCCAGTACCTCCCCCAGTAACTCGTCCTCTCCCCCAGCAGTCGTTCTTCGGGAGGACCTACAACAGTACCCTCCCCGGTACATCCCCCAGTACCTCCCCCAGTACCTTCCCCAGTACCTCCCCCAGTAACTCGTCCTCTCCCCCAGCAGTCGTTCTTCGGGAGGACCTACAACAGTACCCTCCCCGGTACATCCCCCAGTACCTCCCCCAGTAACTCGTCCTCTCCCCCAGCAGTCGTTCTTCGAGAGGACCTACAACACTACCCTCCCCGGTACATCCCCCAGTACCTCCCCCAGTACCTCCCCCAGTACCTCCCCCAGTAACTCGTCCTCTCCCCCAGCAGTCGTTCTTCGGGAGAACCTACAACAGTACCCTCCCCGGTACATCCCCCAGTACCTCCCCCAGTAACTCGTCCTCTCCTCCAGCAGTCGTTCTTCGGGAGAACCTACAACAGTACCCTCCCCGGTACATCCCCCAGTACCTCCCACAGTAACTCGTCCTCTCCCCCAGCAGTCGTTCTTCGGGAGAACCTACAACAGTACCCTCCCCGGTACATCCCCCCGTACCTTCCCCCGTACCTCCCCGGTACATCCCCAGTACCTTCCCCAGTACCTCCCTCAGTAACTCGTCCTCTCCCCCAGCAGTCGTTCTTCGGGAGAACCTACAACAGTACCCTCCCCGGTACATCCCCCAGTACCTCCCCCAGTACCTCCCCCAGTAACTCGTCCTCTCCCCCAGCAGTCGTTCTTCGGGAGAACCTACAACAGTACCCTCCCCGGTACATCCCCCAGTACCTTCCCCAGTACCTCCCACAGTAACTCGTCCTCTCCCCCAGCAGTCGTTCTTCGGGGGACCTACAACAGTACCCTCCCCAGTACATCCCCCAGTACCTCCCCCAGTACCTCCCCCAGTACCTCCCCCAGTACCTCCCCCAGTACTCCCCCAGTACCTCCCCCAGTACCTCCCCCAGTACCTCCCCCAGTACCTCCCCCAGTACCTCCCCCAGTAATTCGTCCTCTCCCCCAGCAGTCGTTCTTCGGGAGGACCTACAACAGTACCCTCCCCGGTACATCCCCCAGTACCTTCCCCAGTACCTCCCCCAGTAACTCGTCCTCTCCCCCAGCAATCGTTCTTCGGGAGAACCTACAGCAGTACCCTCCCCGGTACATCCCCCAGTACCTCCCACAGTAACTCGTCCTCTCCCCCAGCAGTCGTTCTTCGGGAGGACCTACAACAATGTGTCGTCGCTGGGAGAGTGTAAGAACGACGGTCGTTGTGTCATCAACAAGAAGAACCGAACATCGTGCAAGGCTTGTCGTCTCCGCAAGTGCCTGGTGGTAGGCATGTCCAAATCTGGCTCCAGGTAGGCCTATATTGTCCAAGTGTACTTCTAGGTAGTTCTATATTGCCCAAGTGTGGCTCCAAGTAGGTCTATCTTATCCAAATCTGGCTCTAGGTAGGCCTATATTGTCCAAGTGTACCTCTACGTAGTTCTATATTGCCCAAGTGTGGCTCCAAGTAGGCCTATCTTATCCAAATCTGGCTCCAGGTAGGCCTATATTGTCCAAGTGTACCTCTAGGCAGTTCTATATTGCCCAAGTGTGGCTCCAAGTAGGCTTATATTGTCCAAGTATGGCTCTTAGGCCTATGTCCAAGTATGAATCTAGGCCTATATTGCCAAAATGTGGCTCCAAGTAGGCCTATCTTGTCCACATCTGGCTCCAGGTAGGCCTATATTGTCCAAATATGCCTCTTAGTAAGCCTATATTCAAGTATGGCTGTAGGTAGGCCTATATTGTCCAAGGGTGGCTCCAGGTATGCCTATAATGTTCAAATCTGACTCCAGGTATGCCTATAGTGTTCAAATCTGTCTCCAGGTAGGCCTATAATGCTCAAATCTGGCTCCAGGTAGGCTTATAATATCCAAGTCTGACTGCAGGTAAGCCTATATTGTCCATGAATGGCTGTAGGTAGATATATTTTGTCCAATTCTGGCTCCGGTTTGGTCTATAATGTCCAGTTGTGGCTCCAGGTAGGCCTATATTGCCGAATTGTGCTCCAGGTAGACCTATAATGCCAGAGCCTGGCTCTAAGTGTGTCTTTATATCATCATCTAAGACCCGCATCAGGAAACACTGGTCATGTTTCCTGACGAACCTGACCTGACCTGACCTGACCTGACCTGACCTGACCTGACCTGACCTGACCTGACCTGACCCGACCTGACCAGACCTGACCTGACCTGACCTGACCTGACCTGACCTGACCCGACCTGACCTGACCTGACCTGACCTGACCTGACCTGACCTGACCAGACCTGACCCGACCTGACCTGACCTGACCTGACCTGACCTGACCTGACCTGACCTAAATCTCCTCTATATGAGGTTTTTATTTCCCCTCTGTGAGGTCTTTATGGGGTCTACATGTGGTCTACATGTGGTCTACATGTGGTCTACATGTGGTCTAAATGTAGTCTACATGTGGTCTACACATGTAGTCTACATGTGGTCTAAATGTAGTCTTAATGTCCTTTATTATACTGCTAAGTGTCAGCCTTATACAGCGTCAGGTGTCAGCATCACAGTGTGTCAGGTGCCAGCATCACAGTGTGTCAGGTGTCAGCATCACAGTGTGTCAGGTGCCAGCATCACAGTGTGTCAGGTGTCAGCATCACAGTGTGTCAGGTGCCAGCATCACAGTGTGTCAGGTGTCAGCATCACAGTGTGTCAGGTGTCAGCATCATGTACCTCACACCTCTCTCTCCCTCCTTCAGATATGGTAGACGATCAAACTGGTTTAAAATCCACTGTCTCCTGGACGACTCAGGACCTGCCAGATCTGGGACCCCACCTGAGGTGGGATGCTGGGGTCGAACTCCCAGCGAGGATGACAGTGATAACATTGACGTGTGCAGCATTGATGTCCCCCATCAATCACCCAAGCGTACCTCACCAGCTCTCAGCAGTCCCAGTTCTCACACCTCAGATTCATCAGTGGATGCTGCACTCAGAACTCCATCTCTAGAGTACTTGTCTCTCTATCCCAAGTTGTCAGTACTCCCTTCAGGGCTGTACTCGGAACCACAGCTTAATTCTCTGCTGTTAAATCGTTTTCCTCTATCCGTTTCGGCCTATTCTAGTCACTCTATCCACCCCTTTCTCCAACATGCCTTTGAAGATAGGCATAAACTCGGTAGATATTACAGCATCGGCTATAACACCCACAGTACCCCTCCTTTAAGGAGTACTACGGTATCAGTACCACAGAGTATTAGTACCAGTAGACCCAGCTCACCCATACGAAGCTTCGCTCTTCCAGCTAAGCGTCAAGCGGAAGATTCTCTGTTCCATAGGCCTATGAAAAAACTAAAGCAAGCAGTGAATAAGAATGAAGAAAAGATGTACACGAATTCTTTCTTGTCTTCACGAATGGAAGTGAAAAAAACAGGTCTTCACGAAGACAGAATGTATCGAAGTCTTTACGAAGAGGATAAGAAACCACGGTATCTCTCTGAGGTAGACAGGGATTACGATACGCCTATCGACCTCTCCGTGAAGGCTAGTGAAACCTTCTCTTATACACGCTGGAAAGAAGACAGAAACCATCCTGAGCATCCTTACATCCTGGACCTCTCACTCAAGAGCAAAATCTCGAATCCTGAGACCCAAAATCGAGAAGAAACCGAAAAAGAGACCGTACAAGGAAGTCTCGCTCACATCGAGGGTAAATATGAGACTAATCTATCGTCCAACATGGAAGAGAGTATGCTGTCTATCTCATGTATCGTAAGGACCAATGGAATACTCAGCTCACCAATGAACTGCCCGGACGATACCTACAATACCCTAATTCCCCCAATAAGCCCAGTTTAAAACCCAGCTGGGCTTCCCTTACCCACTATTTATTATTATTTATTGTAAATCATTTACGGTTACTGTAAATATATTTATGGCTATTGTACTCACGTTTTCAAAAACTAAGGTAAATCGTGGTCCCCTTTGATGCACTTTCTAAGATTTTAGACGAAAGATCACATTCGTGTCTAAATGTGATTGATCACATTAATTGCAGAAATAAAGATATGTGAAAATGGTCTTTGTATTCATGTTCCTTTGGTCACGGTCCGAGCCGCGGGGGGCATCGACCCCCCGTAACACCCTAAAGGTATTGGTTGCTTGGTTAATCAGGTTTGAAGCCTATCTACACGAGGATCACTAATGCTTTATATGCAGTGTATATAAACACAGTGTATATATACAGTGTATATATGCACAGTGTATATATACACAGTGCATATACACAGTGATGTACACCTCTCGGTGTATATACCTCTCGGTGTATATACACAGAAATAATCTACCCCTTAATATATATACATTAACATACACTACCTATATATACACTGCGATATATACTTCTCGGTGTATATACACTGAGAAATAAACACATCTCGGTATATATACATTAAGAAACACTTCCTATATATACACAGCTATATACCTCCAGGTGTATTCTGCAAAATTTATACCAAAAAATAAAAATCACACAAGGTTCTTGCTTCTCGGGGTTTAATAAGGAACCTTGTGAACCCAGAGCTTAATTAGAAAAGAACTTAAAGTACTGAGCCCGGCCCGTGACCTGACTGGCAAAGATCTCGCTTCACACGCTGAGTGTCTGGGTTCGATTCCCGGCAAGGGTGAAAATATTAGACGCGTACCTTGGTGTTAGTCGACTGGTGTGGGTCGCATCCTGGGGGACAAGAGTAAGAGCCCCAATGGAAATAAAACGATGATGTACTGGCTTTCTTGGGTTATCCTGGCTGGCTAACCCTCCGGGGTTAAAAACACAAATAATATCTTGTTTTGTCTTTATAATTAAAGCAGAGAATAATATTAGAGTTACCCGGTGGCCTGGTGGCTAAAGCTCCCGCTTCACACACGGAGGGGCCCGGGTTCGATTCCCGGGGGGTGGAAACATTCGACACGTTTCCTTACACATGTTGTCCTGTTCACCTAGCAGCAAATAGGTACCTGGGTGTTAGTCGACTGGTGTGGGTCGCATCCTGGGTGTTAGTGGACTGGTGTGGGTGGCATCCTGGGTGTTAGTCGACTGGTGTGGGTCGCATCCTGGGGGACAAGATTAAGGACCACAATGGAAATAAGTTAGACAGTCCTCGATGACGCACTGACTTTCTTGGGTTATCCTGGGTGGCTAACCCTCCGGGGTTAAAAATCCGAACGAAATCTTATCTTATCTTATCTTATCTTCCTTACACCTGCTGTCATGTTCACCTAGCAAGTAGGTACCTTGGTGTTAGTCGACTGGTGTGGGTCGCATCCTGGGGGACAAGAGTAAGAGCCCCAATGGAAATAAAACGATGATGTACTGGCTTTCTTGGGTTATCCTGGCTGGCTAACCCTCCGGGGTTAAAAACACAAATAATATCTTGTTTTGTCTTTATAATTAAACCAGAGAATAATATTAGAGTTACCCATAGAATTTACTGGTTTTCTTTTACAGAGAAACTAAAGAAAATAATATTTGATGGTAAACTAAAATACTTATACACACACGAGACAGGAGGAGTAGTAAGTTTTTATTTAGTTACAAATATACATAAATACAGATACATAAATTATCATACATAGCAGTATATGTGTAGATTACTCTCCAGGAAAAGCAAAGAAAGTCAAAATGACTTATTTCTACTGGAGTCCTTGTGATAATTATCTTTAAACTTCAAAGTTAAACCAGGTAAGTAATTTAAGTGTGTGGAAAGAAGTGACAATAAAAGGAGATTTACCAGGGATAAGGAAAATTCAGTTATATTTATTGATATTAAAGATGGGATCAAATTACATGTTAGATATACACAAAATCCTCTTCCTCAGTTTCTGTTGTTAGGTTAATAATACCTTTATTTACTACAAGTACATGTACAAGGTATACAAGTACATGTACAAGGTATACAAGTACATGTACAAGGTATACAAGTACATGTACAAGGTATACAAGTACATGTACAGGGTATACAAGTACATGTACAAGGTGTACAAGTACATGTACAAGGTATTACAAGTACATGTACAAGGTATACAAGTACATGTACAAGGTATACAAGTACATGTACAAGGTATACAAGTACATGTACAAGGTATACAAGTACATGTACAAGGTGTACAAGTACATGTACAAGGTATACAAGTACATGTACAAGGTATACAAGTACATGTACAAGGTATACAAGTACATGTACAGGTATACAAGTACATGTACAAGGTATACAAGTACATGTACAAGGCATACAAGTACATGTACAAGGTATACAAGTACATGTACAAGGTATACAAGTACATGTACAAGGTATACAAGTACATGTACAAGGCATACAAGTACATGTACAAGGTATACAAGTACATGTACAGGGTATACAAGTACATGTACAAGGTATACAAGTACATGTACAAGGTATACAAGTACATGTAGAAATAAAGATACATGATTTTTTTATTTTTTAACACATCGGCCGTTTCCCACTAAGGTACGGTGGCCCGAAAAAGAAAAACTTTCACCATCATTCACTCCATCACTGCCCTGCCTCAAACGCAGGCAGCAGCAGAGGCAGCGGCAGAGATCTGTTATTTTCTCACCTGCAGAGCCCACCAACGCTTCAGTGATGGCCTAATTGCAATCATAACTGCACTAACGTACGTAGAACCCAGCATGACCCAAGATAATCAACAGTGATACCTACAAACCGAAAAAATTACCGAGTGAAGTGAAGACTGCCCCTCAAACTCCAAGCACAACCCCGCTGCCAGACGACTACCTACTCCAAGCTCTTCACTATCTTAGTTTCTTCATCTAACCACAGCAACTCCTGTACTGCTATGATACCAACTACTAGAAGAAACAGCACTAAGAACAGCAAGGCAGCACCTAGAAATCGACTATTCCATAAGAGGACCCAGCAGGACGCCGGTTGAAACAGCACTAAGAACAGCAAGGTAGCGCCCAGAAATCGACTATTCCATAAGAGGACCCAGCAGGACGCCGGTTGAAACAGCACTAAGAACAGCAAGGTAGCGCCCAGAAATCGACTATTCCATAAGAGGACCCAGCAGGACGCCGGTGCATCATCCACCTCCCTTACAACCCAGAGCGACGCATCAGCAACAACTAACATGGCTGACTCACCCAGCAACCCAGGCGACTCCTCAACAACACCAACTGTGACTGACTCCCTCTCTACCTCTACTACCTTCATAGGATTTAACCCAGCTGATATGCTCCCAGGTATGACTAATGATTCTGACACTCTAAAGCACTACATCACCACCCTAACGGCGGATAACTTGTATCTTCGTGCTGAAAATACGTCTCTCCGTACAACAATAACAAACCATGAATCAAAGTTGCATCGCATCGCATGCAACTACTCAAACTCACACTATTTGCAGATGACACTACATACGTCTACTCTCACCTGAGCCCAGTCATGCTAGCCAATACTGTAAATACCGAATTACAGAAAATATCAGCCTGTATGAGGACCAACAAACTTACTCTAAACATTGACAAAACCTACTACATTCAGTTTGATAACAGAGCTACAGATGTGTCTCTTAACATAATGATAAATGGATCACCTATCACAAAACTCACAGAGGGAAAATTCTTAGGAATCCACCTTGATAATAGACTCAAATTTCAAACACATATACAACAAATTTCCAAAAAAATTTCCAAGGCCGTAGGCATACTATCGAAGATACGGTACTATGTTCCAGAGTCAGCCCTCCTGGCCCTATATCACTCACTTATTTACCCCTATCTCACCTATGGAATTTGTGCATGGGGCTCAACAACAATAAGTAAGTAAGTAAGTAAGTAAGTTTATTCAGGTATACACAAATACAGTTACATAGAATTATCATACATAACAGCATATGTGTAGAGAACCTGGGATAACCCAAAAAAGTCAGACAGAGTGACTTATTTCCATTGGGGTCCTTTTACCTTATTATTATAATATAATATAATAATATTTCAGACCATTAATTACCCAACAAAAGGCGGCAGTCAGAATGATAACAAATTCCCAGTACAGGCAGCACACTCCACCAATATTCAAAACACTCAACCCACTCACAATACAAAACATCCATACATATTACTGCACCTACTACATACATAGAACACTTAACTCTGACATAAACCCTCCCCTCAAACATCTCCTTACCAACCTCAACAGAACACATGATGTTCCTCATATCCATCTCACACTATGCAAAAACTCAATACACATAAAAGGCCCTAAAATCTGGAATTCATTACCTGTGAATATAAAAGAAACACTGTCTGTTTATAAATTCAAGTCTCTTCTCAAAAATCACTTACTCATCCACAACTAAATAAATACTGAATAATTGTATCTCATAAATTGTATCTCATAAATTGTATCTCATTATTGTATATCATAAATGTCTAACCTGTGACCCAATCAAACTTTATTTTTTAATTACCTAACAGAATACTCCATTCTACAGATTACACAGCAACACAGTAATGACCACATGACCTGTCTTTGTAATACTCATTTGTACTAAATTGTTATCTGTTTACAATAATGTTTTTACCACTGAATATATCATTGCTTAGTTAATCTTAAGTTAATTTTAAGCTGCCCATAATGTTCTGCATACAAGGGGCTTTGGCATGCTGCACTGTAATGACTGTATTCCTTTGTACTTCACTGTATCATGTTCAAATTAATAAATAAATAAAGAGTGCAGACACTGTACTTCCCATCTCCAGGACTCGAGTCCGGTCTGCCGGTTTCCCAGAATACCTTCATAAATGTTACTTTGCTCACTCTCCAACAGCACGTCAAGTATTAAAAACCATTTGTCTCCAACACTCCTATCAAATACGCTACCGCATGCCTGCTGGAAGTCCAAGCCCCTCACACACAAAACCTCCTTTACCCCCTCCCTCCAACCTTTCCTAGGCATACCCCTACCCCGCCTTCCTTCCACTACAGATTTATACACTCGAAGTCATTCTATTTTGTTCTATTCTCTCCACATGTCCGAACCACCTCAACAACTTCTGCTCAGCACCAGCTCAACAACCCTCCTCAACCCCTCCTCAACCCCTCCCCAGCACCACCTCAACAACCCCTCCTCAGCACCACCTCAACAGCTCCTCCTAAGCACCACCTCAACAGCCCTCCTCAGCACCACCTCAACAGCCCTCCTCAGCACCACCTCAACAGCCCCTCCTCAGCACCACCTCAACAGCCCCTCCTCAGCACCACCTCAACAGCCCCTCCTCAGCTCCTAATTTCCAAACTACGAATTCTCTGCATTATATTCACACTCACACATTGCCCTCAGACAAGACATCTCCACTGTCTCCAGCCTCCACCACTGCCTCCAGCCTCCTCCTCCACTGCCTCCAGCCTCCTCCACTGCCTCCAGCCTCGTTCACTGCCTCCAGCCTTTCTTCTTGTTACAACATTCACCACCCACGCTTCACACCCATATAAGAGCGCTGATACAACTATACTCTCATACATTCCCATCTTTGCTTCCATGGACGAAGTTCTTTGTCCCCTCAGACTCCTCAGAGCACCACTCACCTTTTTCCCCTCATCAATTCCATGATTCACCTCATCTTTCACAGACACATCTGCTACCACTTCCACTCCTAAATATCTGAATACATTCACCTCCTCCATACTCTCTCCCTCCAATCTGATATCCAATATTTCATTTCCTATTTTTTTAAGTCATTGTTATTATAGAGAATAATTCTGACTTAGGGGAGTTGAAGAATGGAAGAACAGTGACAGAATTGAATAAGCTGGTTTCAACATAGCAAATTGATGATTCAGGCCTATAGCATCATAGAAGATGCCTATAACATAGAAGAGGCCTATAGCATCATATAAGAGGCCTATAGCATAACAGAAAAGACTTATAGCATCATTGAAGAGGCCTATAACATAGAAGAGGCCTATTACATAGAAGAGGCCTATTGCATAGAAGAGGCCTATAACATAGAAGAGGCCTATAGCATCATGAATAAGACTTATAGCATCATAGAAAAAACTTATAACATCACAGAAGAGACCTATAGCATCATAGGCCTATGGCGTGGTGGATGAAGTGGACGGTATGGTGGTGGATGGTGGAGACCATGAACATCCAGCAACTGGACATCCACCAAGTGGATTGGTGTGTTTCTCTACAGTATTGACCAGCATTTGTGACGGGTCCTCCAGGTAAGGCATCAGGTCATCACAGGTGTCTGAGAAGAGAGCTGAAGAAACCATATTCTTAGTGTTATTGATTCTAAGAATATGGAACTATTCTTAGTGATATTTCTATATTCTTAGTGAAAAATAACACTAAGAATATTTCTATATTTGAATAGAGAGAATAAAAATATAGAAATATTCTTTCTAATGATTGGAAATCAACTTTGAAGTAACGCTTAACCATACGACATTATTTACCAAACGACTCACCTTTAACGAAGGTTACTGTCTGGCCAGCGACGTAGCGCCTGTAAGCATCGAACTCGTCAGGAGTAGCGTCTTCGTTATAGCCGCATAAGTCCAGTACCTCAAGGACCTCCAGGTATGACGGGTCGAGGAAGTCCCCGTGGCCGAACTCAGTAGCATTGATGGACCATCTTTGCGTTGACGGGTCCAGAGCGTCGTAAAAGCGATCGTTACTGATGGCATCCGGGGCACACGGAAAGTCACCCACACCTGTGGGCACGTAGACGCTCAGATTTTCCCAACCTTTCGCACGTAGACGCTCAGATTTTCCCAACCTTTCGCCCCTTCAGTCGTAAATTGGACTAAGTTACTAAGATTACTGAGGATATCGGGAGCACACTGCAAGTACGCATTTGGAGACATGTATACCTGGATAAGATAAGATAAGATTTCGTTCGGATTTTTAACCCCGGAGGGTTAGCCACCCAGGATAACCCAAGAAAGTCAGTGCGTCATCGAGGACTGTCTAACTTATTTCCATTGGGGTCCTTAATCTTGTCCCCCAGGATGCGACCCACACCAGTCGACTAACACCCAGGTACCTATTTGCTGCTAGGTGAACAGGACAACAGGTGTAAGGAAACGTGTCAAATGTTTCCACCCGCCGGGAATCGAACCCGGGCCCTCCGTGTGTGAAGCGGGAGCTTTAGCCACCAGACCACCGAGGGTTTCGGAGGTCGAAACCCATTCTCAAATTTTGCCCAACGTTTCGCCCCTTCAGTCGTAAATTGGACTGAAGTCAAAGATTACTGAGGACATCTGGGACACACGGGAAGTTACACCTGAGGACACATATATATACACAGATGGTTTTCTCAGTTCAAAATTACCACTGACGAAACCACTCTGGGCGAAACGTTCTATTGTCTTAAGCTGTGTTTACTTATCCATTTCAACTTCTCTCATTCAGAGAAACAAGAGTACGGGTGGGGGATCGAACTCACGGCAAAGTGGATCGTAAACTCTAGACCAGTGTATAAACCACTGGTTTAAACACCCGTATCGTGGTTTATTACGATTTCATGAATCATTCACACTTGTTGAAGTGAACAATGAACAGTGAGCAGACCAGATGTTCTCGAGAACAGAAGGAAAAATTGAACTTAAGAATCTGTTGGGATTTTTAACCCCGGAGGGTTAGCCAGCCAGGATAACCCAGGGTAGGGAGTGTTAGCCAGCCAGGATAACCCAGGGTAGGTAGTGTTAGCCAGCCAGGATAACCCAGGGTAGGTAGTGTTAGCCAGCCAGGATAACCCAGGGTAGGTAGTGTTAGCCAGCCAGGATAACCCAGGGTAGGGAGTGTTTAGCCCCCCAGGATAACCCAGGGTAGGTAGTGTTAGCCAGCCAGGATAACCCAGGAGTGTTAGCCACCCAGGATTGCAACACGTAAGGCCTAGAGCTATCATTCTATTGTCCCCATGGTTGTTTTGCTTATATATATATATATATATATATATATATATATATATATATATATATATATATATATAATATATCTTCTTGCATATATATATATATATATATAGAGGGGCCACAGATATATCAGATCACTTTCTAGTTGTAGCTACACTGAGAGTAAAAGGTAGATGGGATACAAGGAGAATAGAAGCATCAGGGAAGAGAGAGGTGAAGGTTTATAAACTAAAAGAGGAGGCAGTTAGGGTAAGATATAAACAGCTATTGGAGGATAGATGGGCTAATGAGAGCATAGGCAATGGGGTCGAAGAGGTATGGGGTAGGTTTAAAAATGTAGTGTTAGAGTGTTCAGCAGAAGTTTGTGGTTACAGGAAAGTGGGTGCAGGAGGGAAGAGGAGCGATTGGTGGAATGATGATGTAAAGAGAGTAGTAAGGGAGAAAAAGTTAGCATATGAGAAGTTTTTACAAAGTAGAAGTGATGCAAGGAGGGAAGAGTATATGGAGAAAAAGAGAGAGGTTAAGAGAGTGGTGAAGCAATGTAAAAAGAGAGCAAATGAGAGAGTGGGTGAGATGTTATCAACAAATTTTGTTGAAAATAAGAAAAAGTTTTGGAGTGAGATTAACAAGTTAAGAAAGCCTAGAGAACAAATGGATTTGTCAGTTAAAAATAGGAGAGGAGAGTTATTAAATGGAGAGTTAGAGGTATTGGGAAGATGGAAGGAATATTTTGAGGAATTGTTAAATGTTGATGAAGATAGGGAAGCTGTGATTTCGTGTATAGGGCAAGGAGGAATAACATCTTGTAGGAGTGAGGAAGAGCCAGTTGTGAGTGTGGGGGAAGTTCGTGAGGCAGTAGGCAAAATGAAAGGGGGTAAGGCAGCCGGGATTGATGGGATAAAGATAGAAATGTTAAAAGCAGGTGGGGATATAGTTTTGGAGTGGTTGGTGCAATTATTTAATAAATGTATGGAAGAGGGTAAGGTACCTAGGGATTGGCAGAGAGCATGCATAGTTCCTTTGTATAAAGGCAAAGGGGATAAAAGAGAGTGCAAAAATTATAGGGGGATAAGTCTGTTGAGTGTACCTGGTAAAGTGTATGGTAGAGTTATAATTGAAAGATTAAGAGTAAGACGGAGAATAGGATAGCAGATGAACAAGGAGGCTTTAGGAAAGGTAGGGGTGTGTGGACCAGGTGTTTACAGTGAAACATATAAGTGAACAGTATTTAGATAAGGCTAAAGAGGTCTTTGTGGCATTTATGGATTTGGAAAAGGCATATGACAGGGTGGATAGGGGGCAATGTGGCAGATGTTGCAAGTGTATGGTGTAGGAGGTAGGTTACTGAAAGCAGTGAAGAGTTTTTACGAGGATAGTGAGGCTCAAGTTAGAGTATGTAGGAAAGAAGGAAATTTTTTTCCCAGTAAAAGTAGGCCTTAGACAAGGATGTGTGATGTCACCGTGGTTGTTTAATATATTTATAGATGGGGTTGTAAGAGAAGTAAATGCGAGGGTCTTGGCAAGAGGCGTGGAGTTAAAAGATAAAGAATCACACACAAAGTGGGAGTTGTCACAGCTGCTCTTTGCTGATGACACTGTGCTCTTGGGAGATTCTGAAGAGAAGTTGCAGAGATTGGTGGATGAATTTGGTAGGGTGTGCAAAAGAAGAAAATTAAAGGTGAATACAGGAAAGAGTAAGGTTATGAGGATAACAAAAAGATTAGGTGATGAAAGATTGAATATCAGATTGGAGGGAGAGAGTATGGAGGAGGTGAATGTATTCAGATATTTGGGAGTGGACGTGTCAGCGGATGGGTCTATGAAAGATGAGGTGAACCATAGAATTGATGGGGGAAAAAGAGTGAGTGGTGCACTTAGGAGTCTGTGGAGACAAAGAACTTTGTCCTTGGAGGCAAAGAGGGGAATGTATGAGAGTATAGTTTTACCAACGCTCTTATATGGGTGTGAAGCGTGGGTGATGAATGTTGCAGCGAGGAGAAGGCTGGAGGCAGTGGAGATGTCATGTCTGAGGGCAATGTGTGGTGTGAATATAATGCAGAGAATTCGTAGTTTGGAAGTTAGGAGGAGGTGCGGGATTACCAAAACTGTTGTCCAGAGGGCTGAGGAAGGGTTGTTGAGGTGGTTCGGACATGTAGAGAGAATGGAGCGAAACAGAATGACTTCAAGAGTGTATCAGTCTGTAGTGGAAGGAAGGCGGGGTAGGGGTCGGCCTAGGAAGGGTTGGAGGGAGGGGGTAAAGGAGGTTTTGTGTGCGAGGGCTTGGACTTCCAGCAGGCATGCGTGAGCGTGTTTGATAGGAGTGAATGGAGACAAATGGTTTTTAATACTTGACGTGCTGTTGGAGTGTGAGCAAAGTAACATTTATGAAGGGATTCAGGGAAACCGGCAGGCCGGACTTGAGTCCTGGAGATGGGAAGTACAGTGCCTGCACTCTGAAGGAGGGGTGTTAATGTTGCAGTTTAAAAACTGAAGTGTAAAGCACCCTTCTGGCAAGACAGTGATGGAGTGAATGATGGTGAAAGTTTTTCTTTTTCGGGCCACCCTGCCTTGGTGGGAATCGGCCGGTGTGATAATAAAAAAAAAATAAATAAAATATATATTTTATATATATATATATATAATATATATATATATATATATATATATATATATATAATATATATATATATATATATATACAAAGAAAGATCGCAGTCAGCAGGATTCGAAACTGCAACTGGGACAGTCAAGATTCTCAGGCAGCGCTCTAGTCCACTCGGCCCTCTTGTGTCTGCGTGGAGTATTGATATAAAACTCACTTGAGAGGTCAGAACATAAAGGAGGTGATTGCAATAGCTTGGATCCATGCTTGAGGCTGACGTTCCCAGGCTGGGTAAGAATCATGGCTTGTGAACCAGACTGCTCAGTCTATGTGGCATTTGTGTGGCCGAGTGGACTAGAGCGCTGCCTGAGAATCTTGATCGTCCCAGTAGTAGTTTCGAATCCTGCTGCTTGTGATCTCTCTTTGTATATACCCGTTTGTTTCTGCATGGTACATGCAGAAACAAGTGTTGTACACAGGTAGCAAACAAGCTCTTATGACAACATTTCGATCTAAACAGAGCAAAACGTCACAACACCTAAGTACTGACCAGGTGTGTGAGTTTCTAAGACAGTCACATGTGGGTGCTATCTACCACTGTCACAGTGTATATCTCACCTGAAACATCGTCCAGACCAGCAGCCAGGTGTAGTGTGGGAGTCAGGTAGTTGAGGGTGTGGCCAGGTGTGATGCAGTAGGTGAAGAGTCCGTCTACTGGACTCATGAACACCTGTCCTTTGACCTTGCCACAGGTGTTTTTCAGGTACGACACCAAGACATGGGATCCTGCAGAGTGTCCGCCAACTGTGTGAAGAAACGTTTTGCGATGTTTCGATTGGTGCACATTACTTTAATATTACTTAATCTAACCTGCTATAATATTATCTAATCTAACCTATAATATTACCTAATCTAACCTATATTACCTAATCTATCCTATAATATTACCTAATCTGATTTATATTACCTAATCCAACCTATAATATTATCTAATCTAACCTATAATATTACCTAATCTAACCTATATTACCTAATCTATCCTATAATATTACCTAATCTGACCTATATTACCTAATCCAACCTATAATATTACCTAATCTGACCTATATTACCTAATCCAACCTATAATATTACCTAATCTAACCTATAATATTACCTAATGTAACCTACCCTAAAGTTGATTAGCTATTAATTGAACTTCCCTAATCTACCCTAAACTTACCTATCCTACCCTAACATTACCCGGCTTAAAATTGCCTAGCCTCCCCAATCCTACCCTAACCAATCCTACCCTTGAAGTACCATTATCTAATCTTGCCCATGGAAACTTAGCCTAGCCTAACAAAATATAAAGTTTATTCTGTCTTAACTTAGATATATATATTACTTTCTCAGCCCTACCCATGGGTAACCTAGCCTATCCTAGCCTAACCTACCCATGGGTAACCTAGCCTATCCTAGCCTAACCTACTCATGGGTAACCTAGCCTATCCTAGCCTAACCTAACCATGGGTAACCTAACCTAACCTATCCATGGGTAACCTAACCTAGTCTAACCTAACCTACCCATGGGTAACCTAGCCTAACCTAACCTATCCATGGGTAACCTAACCTAACCTAGCCTAACCTAATCTACCCATGGGTAACCTAACCTAACCTAGTCTAACCTAACCTACCCATGGGTAACCTAACCTATCCAAGCCTAACCTAACCATGGGTAACCTAACCTAACCTACTCTAACCTAACCTATCCATAGGTAACCTAGCCTAACCATGGGTAACCTAACCTACCCTAACCTAACCTATCCATGGGTAACGTAGCCTAACCTAAGCATGGCTAACCTAACGTAGCATAACGCAGCAATACCCTAACCCAACTTAGCTATAAAGTAACCAAGCTCTCTCTCCCTCTCTAACTCCCTCCCTCTCTCTCCCTCTCTCCCTCCCCTCTCTCTCTCTCTCTCTCTGGTCTCACCTACAAGATTCTCTAAGTCAAGATGTACGGTGTCATTGATGCCGCTGTTATGCAGCCTCTGCTCCAGATGCGCATCTGCCCACTCCAAGACAGATATCATCAGAGGTACCTTATCCTCGGGGTCTATAGGCGCTGCTATCTTCCACAGAACCACTACCGCTATCCCATGTGACGCTATGTGCTCCATAGTCTGCAGAAACAGTGTTCGTGAATATTATTATTATTATAATAAAAAAAGAGGCGCTAAACCACAAGGGCTATACAGCGCTGCAGGGTAGGGAAGGAAGCAAGGGTATCGGGCGGCAGAAGGGGGAAGGGATGATTAGTAGGTTACAGAAAACAGCGGGGCAGGGGATACTGCAGGGAAAGAGGGTAGCAAGAGATTGAGGTAGAAAGGGCTGAAGGAATCATCAGAGTTTGTGGAGTAAGTCAGTTGTCAAAAGATCAATGAGAGAGTCCGGATGAAAGGTGGGTCCATCAGCGAGAAGGGAAGGTAAAGAGAGAGTAGAAGAGCTAGTACTAGCAGTAACAGTAGTAGTACTAGCAGTAACAGTAGTAGTACTAGCAGTAACAGTAGTAGTACTAGCAGTAACAGTAGTAGTACCAGCAGTAATAGAGGTAGTATTAGCAGTAACAGTGGTAATACTAACAGTAATAGTGGTAGTACTAGCAGTAACAGCAGTAGTACTAGCAGTAACAGTAGCAGTACTAGCAGTAACAGTAGTAGTACTAGCAGTAACAGTAGAAGTACTAGCAGTAATAGAGGTAGTATTAGCAGTAACAGTGGTAATACTAACAGTAATAGTGGTAGTACTAGCAGTAACAGTAGTAGTACTAGCAGTAAAAGTGGTAGTACTAGCAGTAACAGTAGTAGTACTAGCAGTAAAAGTGGTAGTACTAGCAGTAACAGTAGTATTACTAGCAGTAACAGTAGTATTACTAGAAGTAACAATAGTAGTACTAGCAGTAACAATAGTAGTACTAGCAGTAACAGTGGTAGTAGTAGCAGTAATAGTGGTAGTACTAGCAGTAACAGTAGTAGTACTAGCAATAATACTGGTGTTGCACATGTGTCTTATTCATCAATAAAGACACCCAGGTGTTGTACATGTGTCTTATTCATCAATAAAGTCACCCAGGTGTTGTACATGTGTCTTATTCATCAATAAATACACCCAGGTGTTGTACATGTGTCTTATTCATCAATAAAGACACCCAGGTGTTGTACATGTGTCTTATTCATCAATAAAGACACCCAGGTGTTGTACATGTGTCTTATTCATCAATAAAGACACCCAGGTGTTGTACATGTGTCTTATTCATCAATAAAGACACCCAGGTGTTGTACATGTGTCTTATTCATCAATAAAGTCACCCAGGTGTTGTACATGTGTCTTATTCATCAATAAAGACACCCAGGTGTTGTACATGTGTCTTATTCATCAATAAAGTCACCCAGGTGTTGTACATGTGTCTTATTCATCAATAAGACACCAGATGTTGTACATGTGTCTTATTCATCAATAAAGACACCCAGGTGTTGTACATGTGCCTTATTCATCAATAAAGACACCCAGGTGTTGTACATGTGTCTTATTCATCAATAAAGTCACCCAGGTGTTGTACATGTGTCTTATTCATCAATAAAGTCACCCAGGTGTTGTACATGTGTCTTATTCATCAATAAAGACACCCAGGTGTTGTACATGTGTCTTATTCATCAATAAAGTCACCCAGGTGTTGTACATGTGTCTTATTCATCAATAAAGACACCCAGGTGTTGTACATGTGTCTTATTCATCAATAAAGACACCCAGGTGTTGTACATGTGTCTTATTCATCAATAAAGACACCCAGGTGTTGAACATGTGTCTTATTCATCAATAAAGACACCCAGGTGTTGTACATGTGTCTTATTCATCAATAAAGACACCCAGGTGTTGTACATGTGTCTTATTCATCAATAAAGTCACCCAGGTGTTGTACATGTGTCTTATTCATCAATAAAGACACCCAGGTGTTGTACATGTGTCTTATTCATCAATAAAGTCACCCAGGTGTTGTACATGTGTCTTATTCATCAATAAAGACAACCCAGGTGTTGTACATGTGTCTTATTCATCAATAAAGACACCCAGGTGTTGCACATGTGTCTTAATCATCAATTCACCAAAGCACGACACCTTCAGTACCCCAAGGCTATTTCACCAGCCTTTTCTATGCCTCTGTATAGGCCTACCTGTGCTTAGGCCTCACCTGTGCATAGGCCTCTCCTGGGATAGAGCCACCGAAACTATCCAGAAAGTAGAAGACCCGATAGGTGCCTGCGTCCGTAGGCAACCATACATCCAGGTTCTCATCAAGGCCTATGGTGAGAAGAGAGCCTATCTGAACCCTAGCGGTGCTGAGGCTTCCACGCTCGTAGGGTTGGAAGGCTTCCTGCCCCTGGCATCCACAAGCAACCACCAGCACGACAAGTACGTCAATCTGACCATGGAATTAGTAAATGCAAATATATATGAATAAATAATAATAATACACGTGTCTTATTCATCAATAAAGACACACACACACACACACACACACACACACACACACACACACACACACACACACACACACACACACACACACACACACACACAAGTGCAAAGGTTTGCAACAAGACTAGTCCCAGAGCTACGGGGATTGTCCTACGAAGAAAGGTTGAGGGAAATCGGCCTGACGACACTGGAGGCCAGGAGGGTCAGGGGAGACATGATAACGACATATAAAATACTGCGCGGAATAGACAAGGTGGACAAAGACGGGATGTTCCAGAGATGGGACACAGACACAAGAGGTCACAATTGGAAGTTGAAGACTCAGATGAATCAAAGGGATGTTAGGAAGTATTTCTTCAGTCATAGAGTAGTCAGGCCATGGAATAGCCTAGAAAGTGATGTGGTTACCTGGAGACCTGGAGTTTACCTGGAGAGAGTTCCGGGGGTCAACGCCCCCGCGGCCCGGTCTGAGACCAGGCCTCCTGGTGGATCAGAGCCTGATCAACCAGGCTGTTGCTGCTGGCTGCACGCAAACCAACATACGAGCCACAGCCCGGCTGATCCGGAACTGACTTTAGGTGCTTGTCCAGTGCCAGCTTGAAGACTGCCAGGGGTCTGTTGGTAATCCTCCTTATGTGTGCTGGGAGGCAGTTGAACAGTCTCGGGCCCCTGACACTTATTGTATGGTCTCTTAACGTGCTAGTGACCCTTTCAAAGATTTTTATGATATGGGATGTTAGTGCTATTGGTCTGTAGTTCTTTGCTGTTGCTTTACTGCCCCCTTTGTGGAGTGGGGCTATGTCTGTTGTTTTTAGTAACTGTGGGACGACCCCCTTGTCCATGCTCCCTCTCCATAGGATGGAAAAGGCTCGTGATAGGGGCTTCTTGCAGTTCTTGATGAACACAGAGTTCCATGAGTCTGGCCCTGGGGCAGAGTGCATGGGCATGTCATTTATCGCCTGTTCGAAGTCATTTGGCGTCAGGATAACATCGGATAGGCTTGTGTTAATCAAATTTTGTGGCTCTCTCATAAAAAATTCATTTTGATCTTCGACTCTCGGTCTGGTTAGCGGCTTGCTAAAAACTGAGTCATATTGGGACTTGGAGGCAGGAACCATACATAGTTTTAAGACGAGGTATGATAGAGCTCATGGGGCAGGTAGAGAGAGGACCTAGTAGCAATCAGCGAAGAGGCGGGGCCAGGAGCTGTGAATCGACCCCTGCAACCACAAATAGGTGAGTACAAATAGGTGAGTACAAATAGGTGAGTACACTCACACACACACACACACACACATATATATATATATATATATATATATATATTATATATATATATATATATATATATATATATAATATATATATATATATATATATATATATATATATATATATATATATATATATATGGGCGAAACGTTTCCAAATTCTTACTCATGTGTCTCTTTCAACTTGACGGTATTATAGAATCACTATATTTATATACATGAAGTTATCAAGTTAGATAAGGACATGAGGAATTAACACTGCAGAAGGCCTACTGGCCCATGCTAGGTAGGAATACCTAAGACATTCCACGAAGGATACTTAAAAATATTTCTTCAGGGATTCCTAAAATCTTCCTTCAGGGATACCTAAATTCTTCCTTTAGGGATACCTAAATTACTTCAGGTACACCTAAATTTATCAAGGGATGTCTAAATTCTTTATCCAGGGATACTTAAATTCCATCAGGGATACCTAAATTCATGAAGGGATATACAAATTCTACATCCAGGGATACCATATTACCCACACCTTACCAGACTCATGGTAGAGGTACCAGGTAGTGTTGATATTGTCAGCGATACTGGCTATCCTAACTGTGGTCCCTCTGTTATATAGCTGTGGCCATGGGCCATGCCCACTCTGTCCATGGGACATGCCCACTGTAGCCATGGGACATGCCCACTGTAGCCATGGGACATGCCCACTGTAGCCATGGGACATGCCCACTGTAGCCATGGGACATGCCCACTGTAGCCATGGGACATGCCCACTGTGGTCATGGGACATGCCCACTGTGGCCATGGGACATGCCCACTGTAGCAATGGGACATGCCCACTGTAGCCATGGGACATGCCCACTGTAGCCATGGAACATGCCCACTGTGGTCATGGGACATGCCCACTGTAGCCATGGGACATGCCCACTGTAGCCATGGGACATGCCCACTGTAGCCTGGGACATGCCCACTGTAGCCATGGGACATGCCCACTGTAGCCATGGGACATGCCCACTGTAGCCATGGGACATGCCCACTGTAGCCATGGGACATGCCCACTGTAGCCATGGGACATGCCCACTGTAGCCATGGGACATGCCCACTGTGGCCATGGGACATGCCCACTGTAGCCATGGGACATGCCCACTGTGGCCATGGGACATGCCCACTGTAGCCAATGGGACATGCCCACTGTAGCCATGGGACATGCCCACTGTAGCCATGGGACATGCCCACTGTAGCCATGGGACATGCCCACTGTAGCCATGGGACATGCCCACTGTGCCATGGGACATGCCCACTGTGCCATGGGACATGCCCACTGTGGCCATGGGACATGCTCACTGTAGCCATGGGACATGCCACTGTGGTCCTGGGACATGCCACTGTGCCATGGGCCATGCCCACTGTGGCCATGGGCCATGGGCCATGCCCACTAAGGCCATGGGTCTTGCAAACTGTGGCCATGGTCATGCACACTGTGGCCATGCCCACTCTGGCCATGAGACATGCCCACTGTGGCCATGGGTCATGCCCACTAAGGCCATGGGACTTGCAAACTGTGGCCACGGCCATGGCCACTGTGGCCATGGCCATACAATCTGTGAACATATTAAACAATTACTCTTTATTATATTAGGGGAGAATTATTGATACTAAGCAAGAGCTCTTAATCCAAGGAATTAGAGCTGCTCCTGAGCTTCCTCGGATCAAACCTGAGGACCTCACACTGACCCCAGGTGACGCACCAGTACAAGTAACAGTAGTAATTGCAGTAGTAGTAATAGTAATAGTAGTAATAGTGTATTAATTGTAAAATAGTAATGGTTGTAATAGTAATACTAGTAATAGCAGCAGTAGTGGTAACAGTAATAGTAGTAGTAGTAGTGGTAATTACAGCAGTAGTAGTATCAGTGGTAATAGTGCCAGTAGTAGCAGTGGTAATAGCAGTAGCAGCAGTGGTAATAGTAGTAGTAGCAGTGGTAATAGTAGCAGTAGTAGCAGTGGTAATAGTAGCAGTAGTAGCAGTGGAAATAGTAGCAGTAGTAGCAGTGGTAATAGTAGCAGTAGCAGTGGTAATAGTAGCAGTAGTAGCAGTGAGTAATAAGTAGTAGTCAGTAGCAGTGGTAATAGTAGCAGTAGTCAGTGGTAATAGTAGCGTAGTAGCAGTGGTAATAGTAGCAGTAGTAGCAGTGGTAATAGTAGTAGTAGCAGTGGTAATAGTAGCAGTAGTAGCAGTGGTAATAGTAGCAGTAGTAGCAGTGGAAATAGTAGTAGTAGCAGTGGTAATAGTAGCAGTAGTAGCAGTGGTAATAGTAGCAGTAGTAGCAGTGGTAATAGTAGTAGTAGCAGTGGTAATAGTAGCAGTAGTAGCAGTTAATAGTAGCAGTAGTAGCAGGTAAATAGTAGTAGTAGCAGTGGTAATAGTAGCAGTAGTAGCAGTGGTAATAGTAGCTAGTAGCAGTGGAAATGTAGCAGTAGTAGCAGTGGTAATAGTAGCAGTAGTAGCAGTGGTAATAGTAGTAGTAGCATGGTAATAAGTACAGTAGTAGCAGTGGTAATAGTAGCAGTAGTAGCAGTGGTAATAGTAGTAGTAGCAGTGGTAATATACAGTAGTAGCATGGTAAGTAGCAGTAAGCATGGTAATAGTAGTAGTAGCAGTGGTAATAGTAGCAGTAGTAGCAGTGGTAATAGTAGTAGTAGCAGTGGTAATAGTAGCAGTATAGCAGTGGTAATAGTAGTAGTAGCAGTGGTAATAGTAGCAGTAGTAGCAGTGGTAATAGTAGTAGTAGCAGTGGAAATAGTAGCAGTAGTAGCAGTGGTAATAGTAGTAGTAGCAGTGGAAGTAGATAGACAGTATGAGTAGTCAGTGTAATAGTAGCAGTAGTAGCAGTGGTAATAAGCTAGTAGTAGCAGTGGTAATAGTCAGTAGTAGCAGTGGTAATAGTACGTAGTAGCAGTGGTAATAGTAGTAGTAGCAGTGGTAATTAGTCAGTAGCTAGTAGCATGGAAATAGTAGCAGTATAGCAGTGGTAATAGTAGTAGTAGCAGGGTAATAGTAGCAGTAGTAGCAGTGGTAATAGTAGTAGTAGCAGTGGTAATAGCAGTAGTAGCAGTGGAAATAGTAGCAGTAGTAGCAGTGGTAATAGTAGTAGTAGCAGTGGTAATAGTATGCAGTAGTAGCAGTGGTAATAGTAGTAGTAGCAGTGGTAATAGTAGCAGTAGTAGCAGTGGTAATAGTAGTAGTAGCAGTGGTAATAGTAGCAGTAGTAGCAGTGGTAATAGTAGTAGTAGCAGTGGTAATAGTAGCAGTAGTAGCAGTGAAATAGTAGCAGTAGTAGCAGTGGTAATAGTAGTAGTAGCAGTGGTAATAGTAGCAGTAGTAGCAGTGGTAATAGTAGTAGTAGCAGTGGTAATAGTAGCAGTAGTAGCAGTGGAAATAGTAGCAGTAGTAGCAGTGGTAATAGTAGTAGTAGCAGTGGTAATAGTAGCAGTAGTAGCAGTGGTAATAGTAGTAGTAGCAGTGGTAATAGTAGCAGTAGTAGCAGTGGTAATAGTAGTAGTAGCAGTGGTAATAGTAGCAGTAGTAGCAGTGGTAATAGTAGTAGTAGCAGTGGTAATAGTAGCAGTAGTAGCAGTGGTAATAGTAGTAGTAGCAGTGGAAATAGTAGCAGTAGTAGCAGTGGTAATAGTAGTAGTAGCAGTGGTAATAGTAGTAGTAGCAGTGGAAATAGTAGCAGTAGTAGCAGTGGTAATAGCAGTAGTAGCAGTGGTAATAGCAGTAGTAGCAGTGGTAATAGTAGTAGTATCAGTGGTAATAGTAGCAGTAGTAGCAGTGGTAATAGCAGTAGTAGCAGTGGTAATAGCAGTAGTAGCAGTGGTAACAGCAACAATAGTAGTATCAGTGGTAATAGTACCAGTATTAGCAGTGGTAATAGTAGTAGTAGCAGTATTAATAGTACCAGTAGTAGCACTGGTAATAGCAGTGGTAGCAGTAGTAGTAATATTAGTAATAGCAGTGGTAATAGTAGTAGCAGCAGCAGTGGTAATATCAGTAGTAGCAGCAGTGGTAATAGCAGTAGCAGCAGCAGTGGTAATAGCAGTAGTAGTAGCAGTGGTAGTAGTAGAAGTAGTAGTAGTAGCAGTGGTAATAGCAGCAGTGGTAATAGCAGCAGTGGTAATAGCAGCAGTGGTAATAGCAGCAGTGATAATAGTCAACAACATGCTTATACTTGAGGTGACAGGTGCTGAGAGCACCTGAGGTGGGAACCTAGCAGGTGTTAGGCACTCTCATATCAGCTTGTGTCCGTGAAACAACACTGGGAATTTTGGTGCAGGAGGTGAGTAGGAGAAAGTGAGTAGGAGAAAGTGAGTAGAAGATGAGTAGAAGGTGAATGTGAGAAGGTGAGTAGAAGTGTTGAATTGTTCCAGCCATTGTACTGTGGTTGTGAATTGTTCCAGCCACGGTATTGTTGACTGTGATTGTTCCAGCCACGGTATTGTGGCCAGTGATTGTTCCAGCCACGGTATTGTTGGCTGTGACTGTTCCAGCCACGGTATTGTGGCCTGTGATTGTTCCAGCCACGGTATCGTGGCCAGTGATTGTTCCAGCCACGGTATTGTGGCCAGTGATTGTTCCAGCCACGGTATTGTTGGCTGTGACTGTTCCAGCCACGGTATTGTGGCCTGTGATTGTTCCAGCCACGGTATTGTGGCCAGTGATTGTTCCAGCCACGGTATTGTGGCCAGTGATTGTTCCAGCCACGGTATTGTGGCCAGTGATTGTTCCAACCACGGTATTGTGGCCAGTGATTGTTCCAGCCACGGTATTGTGGCCAGTGATTGTTCCAGCCACGGTACTGTGATTCTGATCAAATTAGTCAGGCATCACTACCACAGGTCGCAGGGATCATATCATTTATTCCAGCAGAAAAATCATTAGGGAACGGATAGGCCTACACAGGACAATTAAAATCAAGTTAACTAGAAACTAGAGTAAAGGAGTTCTGGCCAATAGGCTACGCAATTGTGACTGGACAATTGCTTCCAGGACTACAGTAAACAGTGTTTACTGTAGTCCTGGATAATACAACACTAATTAACGAGGCTGGGATTTAACGAAGAACTGAACTCTGGATAACTACTGAGATATTGGATAATATTGAATTTATGGACCAGTTGCTATAAAGATTTAAGGCAGACAGGATGTTGCAACGCTAAATGAATTCCAAAAGGCTGAGGAACAGAGTGCAGAGGTTCGTAAAAGGACCAAAGGCTAGGCACCATTGCTCAAAGAGTGAAGGATACATAACTCCAGAAAGCTCTGGCAACAACTAAACAGTCAGAGTATAACCATAAACCAGTAGAAAGATCTAACATAATACTAAATATCGATAATGAGGTATACCACGAGACAACTAAAGAGGTTGTTTTAATTCCTGCCACACAACTGTCGCATCAACACCAGTATGTGAACTACCAGTTACGTCACTTTTAACACAGACTCTGATAAGTTTACAACAAACTACATTAAAAAGGGCGTCACCCCGAACGGTCGCCAAGTATTAGGTGCATCTCATGGCT